TCAGAAAGCAGCAGCCACGTGCTACAGCGGAGAGAGATTAATGGGAGCACATGGGCGTCTGCTGAGATCCTCTGACCCACCTTGATTCCGACCCCACTCTCTCGGGACCCTGCTCCTCTCGGGACATTGGCTTCCATTCTTGGATGTCCTTGTGACTCCATCCCTTTATTAGTTCACATGTCTCTTGTAATCCTGTCTTTTTACTTAAGCTCCTGAAGCTATTTAACATCAGGGTCTATGTGCCAGGTGCTCTCAGGTGTCACTGTATCTGTCCATCCACTGCCTTGCTAAGCAAACTCTTGGTTTCCAAACCTCTGCCTGACTTTGCTGTTTCTTTCACTCTGTGTTAGCCTATTGTTGTATTTTATATCCATCTGGCTTAGACCCTCCCGACTCCAGTGGAACTCAAGTCCTTAATGCCCCGGCCCTTGGACCCCCAGGCCTGCCCGTCTTTAGCACACAGGTGAAATCTGCCGAGTTCTCCAGCTTGGGAATGTTACATGTGGGTGTAAAGGGAACTAATTATATATTCCTCCTTAATCTGTCTCCAAGTGAGATGATTTCTTTAAAGTCAAATGCTTTCATCCATTTTCACAGAACATCACCAAAAGTCTCAGGAAACCATTAAAAAGCATTTTATCTTCACATTATCCATTGCTGATGTATACATTTTAAAAGAAAAGCCATGTACTAAAATGAGTACTTACTAAAAACACCCAATTCAAAAAATCATTCTCCTTCAACTATCCCCTCACTGCTGCTTAGCAGCCCTTTTACTAAGGTCTTGGTTGCCTCTCAGCAACATTTACCATCACTATTCTTGACTTCTCCAGCCCCTACAAGCTCCCGGAAAACCGCTTCTTTCAGGATGATCTTCTTTGAAATGGAGGCCTTCCTTCCTTCCACAGAACCAGGGAAATAAGAAGGGATATTTCGACTCAAGTTCTCACGCATCCACCCTTGTCTCCAATGGAAAAGAAGACTTTCCGCCAGTCCCACCCCAAGCGTCCCCAGCGCTAGGGTTTCTCCCAGTCAATCACGAAGAGTGGGTTCCCAAAGGACCTTCAGGATGTAGACTTGTTACAGATTCCCAAAGGTATCCTAGCAACAACAACCGGGAGGAACACCCGGCGGGACCAACCCCATCACCTCTTGCTTAGGTCCTCCTTTCCATCTTTCCCTCCTCTCGCCACTCGAACCCTCTGCCAGCCAACTGTGAGCTGGAGGGTGAGAAGCAGAATGGCCCTTTCCCACGAACCTTGCTCTGACATTGACTCTGGCTGCTCTGACTTTCCCCCCTCTGCCTGCAAAGGTGAAGAGGCTGTCCCCTCTCTCGAACACACCTGGGCTTGACCCTTCTCCCTTCTGCTGTTCTCCGGGCCTGATCCTAGAGCTGGGCCATTGCGAATAGTCAGTGTGGGCTCAGGAAATCCCCGGTTTGGTCCGAGGATGGAGGAGCTAGGCAGGTGGTAGATGTGGAGGCCGGGGGGTGGGGAAGCTAAGGATGCGGCCGGTAGTCAGTTACAGGACAGCCAGCTGGGGCTACTAAAGACTGAAGCTACAGAGGTGAGAGGCCAGACCCATGGGGCAGTCTGGTCTCGATACCGACAGCAACCACAGCCAGGTGCTCCTGATTAGCTCACCCTCCCTACAAGGCCCCGACTTGACATGCTGGGATTAGTTCCATGCTTTTGGCTGGAGGCAGAGAAGCTGCTTCATTTACTAAGGCCTTTCTATTGTCAGCACCTTGTCATTGGTCTTCTACTCAACTGAATCTTCCGATTTCCTGATTCCCGGATGTGGCCTTGCACCACCGCCGGCCCTTCTAATTCTGCCTCCTGATACTTGTGTCTTCTTGTCTTTGACTGGCAAAGCCAATATGAAGACAACATCGGGGTGGACCAGTATTCCCTGGACTCTGGGCTCTGAGTTCTAGAAAGAACTAGGATCTAGAAGGTACCACATGAGGATCCCCGAATATAAGGAAGGAGCAGATAATTAGGGACAGTTTGTAAGAAGAGGGGATGAGGCCAGCCAAGATGAGCATAATGTCTAGAGGACTCAAACTGCAGACAGTCTGGAGTATATGCCTATACAGAAGATGGGGCCTCATCTCATTTGGACATTTTCCCCACTGTGGGAGGTGGGAGAAGTGTAATTCTGCACATGAGGTCAAAGAGCAGACGGCTTCCTCCTCGAGGCCTGGGCTATTTAAGTAAGGGAACCAGGTGGACACTGAGCTGTCATAGCCATGCTCAAGCATTAGGCCTGAACTACAAGTATCTCTTACAATTACCCAATGCTGAGGACCTATGGGCTTCTTTCCAGTAGTAAGCTTGGATCAGCCTGACAAATGAAGAACTTGCAGTAAGGACCTAATGGTTCTAGTTTCAGGCTCCGAGAGAATTGACCCAGAAAACTCTTTGTTAACGTCTGAAAATTCTTTAGCAGCATCTTTCTAACCTCCTCCTTACTCCCACCATGCTATTTACATACCACTTTGTCAGCGTTTTTCCCTGTGCCCCCACCACGGCCTCACCCCACCTCATTTCTGAGACATGTGATGGATTGCAGGCAGATGGGGATCAAGCTCATCCCTTTTCATGCCCATCTATATGTCACTTTTTTGTCTTGCTCAAGAATGACTGACTAGTAAACATGCTACTGTGAAAATGATAAATGGAGACAACTACATGTGTTTTTAAGGAAAGGCCTATGAGATGCCTTTTACTTATCAGAACAGAGAATACCCAGGCTGAATTTTAGAACTTTCCATGGCTGGGTGAAGGACCAATGTATTGCCCCTGAGCAGAAGATCCCCAGGCCAGTCACAGGAGCTGATTAGGATTATTAATAGCCTCCCCGTGAGCGCATGCTGATATGTATCTCATTTAAATCCTTTAAGCTGCATTCCAACCTGGTTCTCCTCTTTAATGAAAGAATTTTATTTGGTTCAAGTAATCTTTCTATCGGAATTATTTCAGTTGCCATTTTTATTGGCTTTGAACAATGGAAACAACCCAGCAAGTTACCTGTGGTTTAATCCATCGTACATTCCTGACATGTGCGCCACTGTTTTTCTCTTCATTAAGTGATTTTAATAAAATGAAAATTCTTGCACCGTGGTTCCACTGGTGTCTTGCGTGCCTCCTGTTTGGGGAGGGGCGTTCTAGCTAACATTCAACAGGAGGAAAGCAGCACAAAGAGCTGCCTAGTTCAACAGGAAGCAGAATATCGGCTCCCTTCGCTCCATCACTAGATGATGGGCTAGAACACCGAAAGCATCATTTCATCACTAGATGGGCTAGAACACCGAAAGCATCATTTCATCACTAGATGAGCTAGAACACTGAAAGCATCATTTCAAGATGGGTTTAGTGGTTGCTGGGGGTTGGGGGGTGCATGAGGAGGGCAGAGTGGTGTTAGCAAAGTCTGAACTTTCAGGGATTTGGAGATGTTGGTTTCAAAGTGGGATTCATCCTCGGTTCCCAAGATTATAGATTTCCTTCCAAACTGCATTCCCTACATGGTTTAGCGAACAGTTGACGCAGAAATTGCTCTCCGTCTTTTGATTGACACGAAAAACACTGTGAAAATAGTTTGGAACTTGATCTCTTCGAGGGAAGGACAGTAATCAAACTATAGCTCTTGCCTGCAGCCTTTCTCTCACACTTACTCAGAACTGTTCCAGGAAAAGAAATTCACAGGGAATTCTGTTATCATATATCACTTCTGGAAGGGGAGAGAGGCATTCTCAAGAAAATGATCCCCCAACTTCTAAATACAAAGAGAAAAGATGATTTAATGAATCTCAACACAAACCCACCTCACTCCATGGAATAAAGTCACATTGGAGCTGGAAATCATGAATATCCAGATTTATTTTAAAATGTATCAAATTTGCCCTTCTTGCTGCATACCTCCTAATCTTCAGTTAAGTTCTAGTCCTGCATGTCTGGTTTTGCCAAACACAGTAGAAAGACTACTATTTCCGTGTATATGTTCATCTGCATAGCCCTGTTAACAGAAGGGATCTAAGAATACCAAGGACTTTGTTCTCATCCACTTTTTTTGACCATGTACTGCCACAGCACTAAAATTCCCCCACCCTTTACAATCAGCTCTTTCTAAAAGGAATTCCAGGCTACTACTGACCAGCTGCCTTGTCCTGCTGTTAAAGATGCCCAAATATGTCTGAGCATGAAATGAAACTGTGTCCTCCCTTTCGGGAACACACTTGGAACCTACAACTTTTCAAATAGTCGAGTCACACTCAGGCACACTTTCAAACAGAAAATACGGTTTCCCAATAAATAGTCTGGTGGGGTGTTGAAAATGATTTCTAGAAACACGCCCACCAGTACACACATTCTCGCATTATTAGGTTTTATAGGAAACAGATCGTGGTAGGCATCTTCTGTCTTAGCAAATATCAGATCAGTTACATTAGCCCAACCGGTGCTCCAAGGTCAGTGCTCCTTCTACCTCGGACCTCATTTCCTGGCAGCTCTAGAAGTCGAGTTTCAAAACCGGGTAGCAGCACAAAACACGAATGCCTTTCGTGAAAAAGCATCACTTCGTGGCTTCTCACCAACCTAAAAAGTTGTTGTCTCTTAGAAGCAAGAGCTCTTTAAATCGCTGACCATAAAAGATGCAGGGGAGACGGGCACAGCACGACCCCGGCGGCTGGCGAGCAGGTATAACCCCCGCCGCACTCCTAAACAAAAGGCTATTCGCATCAAAGTTGCCGGTGGTCCCTGCATCCACCGCCTCTCCTCGCGCCCCAGCTCCAAGAACAGAGCTTGAAACCCCATCCTGTTTGTCTTCCGGGAACATCTGCAGGGCAGCGAGGCGCAGTCTGGCTCTGAGACTTTGCATGGCTTGTGGGCTTTTACAGCCTCGCATCTCCGGCTACCTTGGCCAGGAATGTTGCGTGAAACCCGGAGGGAGCAAGTCCCCAGACTCTCTGCAAGAGATGAAAAGAAAGTCCTCCGCCTTACCTCATAGGCTGAAACTTCTTCCCGGGGACTGAGTCGGAAGGGAAGGACCGGTTTCTTGAAGCAGGAGCTCAGCAAGAGGGCAGGCAGGCAGGCAGCTCATACACACTGCTCTATTCAATAAAACTGCAGACCGCCCTTCCTTGGCCCCTCCCAGAAGTCGGTGCTAAGTGAACACATATCCCCTGTGTTTACAGTCGGCAGTCGGTGGTATGCATTGTCCTGTAGGTTTTTCTAATAGGCAGCCAATGACGACACCTCGGCCGAGGTGGATATAGCCTGCCCGTGGAGATGCCTGTCATTCCCTAGGCATGCTCAGGAAATCACTCATCAGAAAAACCAAGACCTAAAAAGCTCAGAAACGGCGTGCAGGCTGCCAAAACCAGCCTGCTCCATGCCCTTTTTTGGTTATCCTCAGCAGGGCCTCTGCAAGTGAATCCGTTGTCAGGAACAATCATAAGAAATGTTCGTCTTGGAGAAGGAGGCTGTCTTGTAGAACAGGACTGGAACTTTCGAAAGAAAGCACAGTCTAGGAGACGAAAAGCTAACGGCCCCTAAGTTTATTGGGGGTGGGGGTGGGGAAGGCTTTTTAATTGAGGGAGCCTTAATAGTGTATTTCTTGTTTAAAAAAAAAAAAAAGTAGTTGTAAATACGAAATGAAATAAAATCATTATGTAATTTTAAAGCCTGAAAGGACTGGGACTCAGGTCTGGTGTACAGACTCAATTCGAACCAGAGAGAGGCACAACCCCCTAAAATGTGTCTCCACGTGTTATAAAAACAACGGACCAAAAGAAAGCTGAGGTCTTTTATAGCAGGTAATGTTTGCCAGAATAAGAGTAGCACCAGAAACTCCGCAAGGTAAGGTCCTACAGGCTGGGCTCCCCTTATTGGTTCTCCATGTCACCTCCCTCTCCAGTTCCCCTTTGTTTCCCGGCTTTGTCCCTGGGGAGAGACTGTCAGAGAGTGTGCACACCAGAGAGGGCTGGAGACACCCAGCACCTCCTTTGGGACTGGTGTAGATGAATCCACATGCCCACAGAGATGACACTGATGTTCCAGTGACGTTTGGACAGTACTCCGACCAGCTCTGCATTGGTAGAATGTCTATGCACTGTAAGAGGGTCGGGATTAGAAGACGCTGAATTAGAATGAAGGTCAACCGGCGCACGTGTGCATTCCATCTGCGGTCTTGTACTTTTAAATATAGAACTCACTCAATCAGGTCTTGATTCCACAACAACGAAAAATTATGAGCACTTGTTATTTGTCAGGCCTGGGGCCAGGTGCTAGAGCTATGCCTTATTACTGCTATGTGTTTGGAGACTATTTCATCGCCGACAAAGAAGAGTTAAAATATTTTCCTTAGCTAATTACAAGTCCAGAAGCTTGGTCTTCAAAAAATCTGAGGTTTTACTGTGTAAGCCTTGCCCTATTTGTGAATATCCGACTTAGACATGATCTCTACTGAGGAAAAAGGTTCTTGACCTTTGTGCCTCATTCAGAAGAATGAGAAGTGACTCGTCCAAATGGGTGGTGTCCTTCTTCAGCCCTCCAGCATGAATAAGTCATCCAGAAACATCTGTATCAATCTGAGACTCATCTTTCTCTTGGGAAGGCTACCCTGTCCCCTCTCCCTAACTGCTACTGCAGTATAAGCCTAAAAAACCACAGTGAAGGCTGCCAGGCAGAGGGAGAGGTGAGCTGCACTTTCCCAGAGAAACAGAGTAAATAATGGCTGGCGGGAATGGCACAGTCAATGCCATGTTTCACGTACACTGTGGCTCACCCAGGCATTTGTGAAGCGCCATCATTTGTAACATTGTTCCTATGGGGAAACATCTTCTGATCCCAAATAAATGATTTGGAAATAAACTTAGGGAACACGGTTTTGCTGCTGGGGACATCCAGATTGTTAAGGTTGAATGTATACTTCATAGTCTGGTAAACTGCTGAGTTTGAAGATCCGTAGGGTAGACATCAGGGAGCTCTGAAAGCAACTCAGCTCGTGTCGTTTGGGTGAAGATAGGACCTGTGTCCAGAGATGTTTGGGGCCCTGTGTCTGCAGGCAGTATGATCCGTAACTCAGTGAGGCCTGTTTTAACGTGCTGTTTACACGGCCACTGCTGATTATAGCCTGAGCAGCATTCCCCCTGCTTGTATGAGTAATGCCCTTTGGTTGTACAACATCAGGGCGTAATTTGCAATCTATGAATAAAATAAGTACCAGCTTCCCAGAGGAAAGAAAAGTTGTGCTACAAATGGGGAAAATATTATCAGCAGGAAACATGGAAAGGACATGCATTTTATATGGTTTTTAGAAGATAAATGGCTAAATATTTTGGGGTTTATGTTTTTAGAAAAGAAGTATGTTTCCCTAGATAAATTCTAAATACCTCCTATATAGAGTACAGTGGATGAGCAGCCATTTAGCCTATTTTGTGTGTTTGAAAATAGACTTATTGTGGAGGAACTATATAGTTGAAAGAATAATTTAGCAAAATTTTTGTAATATCCACCATAGCATAGAAATGTTATTTTTCCATTGTCTTTTTTACTTTTTTTTTTTTAAAATTAAGCAAGAATAAAAAAGAAAGGAAAGGGAATAATAAGAAAGAAAAAGATAAATGTTGCCAATTTCTGCCATGGGAAACTGGACTTTCATAGTACTTACTTTTTCCAGAGGTCATCTGTAAACAACACTAAAAATACACAGGATTTATATAGGAAGTTTCTGTGGAATATATTTCCCACTTGGATCATCCCAGATAAAGAAGAGCTTGTCTGGAATATGCTATCTCTACTTAATGAACCATAACAAATCTAATGAGACATTTGGAAACATCTGGATGACTCATATTTTTTCAGTTCCCGCTGACTATTTGTAATCGTGTAGATCAGAAGTGAGCAATTATATTTTGCTTGCATGTCAATTTGGGAGAAGTAAAGGCAGGCCATACTTTTTCATTCAAAATTGAAATCACTTCATGGAGTTCTATAAAAACATACATTCTTCTAGCTTAAAATATCTACTTTGTTGAACAGAACAGATATTTTTGAACATTTTTAAAGGCAGTAGAACACCCCCACGCCCTGATGGGCCCACCCCCTCACACACACACTCTCTTTTATTCAAATAAAGTATTTCCAGAAACTCAAGTTTCTAAAACAATAAAATCAGACTGGTAGAATGTTGATACCAAAATTGGACAAAGACAGAACAAAAAAAAAAAGAGAGAGAGAGAGAGAATTAGACTAAGTGTACTTACAAACATAGATGAAAAATTAGCATATTGAATCCAATACCATAAAAAAAGATATGTCTTTATTTGTTATGATGTGATTATGTATGTAAAAAATTTAAGAGAATCAACAAATACATGAGAATGAATAAAAGAGTTTATAGCATGATTATTGGAATTAAGTTCAGTATGCAAAAACCCAGGGTTCCTGTAACCAGCCATCTCTAATTTTAAAATATAATAGAAAAATATACTATTCATATTAATAACAAATGTGTGCATTCTCTGGGAATAAACTTAACAGAATATGTGCAAGAAAATTACAAAACTGGATTTAAGGACATAAAAGGCTGCATAAATGGTAAAAATATGTAACTTTTCTGAATGGCAAACCTCAAAATTATAAAGATGTAAATTCTCTTCAAATTAATTTATGCATTTATTATTCCAACTAAAATTCCTAAATGATTTATATTGTAGAACTTGACAAAATAATCTCAAAATTAATATGGAAAAGTAAAGACATAAAAATAAATACTGAGATACTTATAGAGCAATTCTAATCAAGGTAGGTGTTATTGGCCCAGGAATGGACAAATAGATCACTAGAACAAAGTAGAAAACCTCAAAACTGTCCCAAGCATACGTGGAAACTTCTAAAATAACAGCAGAGGCATCACAGATCAGGGAGAAAGGGTAGACTATTCTATTAACGGTAAGGTTACAATTGATTGTGTGGAAACAATAAAATTAGTTTCAGAATTCCACCCCGCCCTAGGCGAAACTAGGTTATTTGAAAAACAAAATGACTAGAAAATAATGAGAAAAAAAATTGTAAGTGAATTTTTTTATGATAGATATGATATGGAAGGATTCATAAAAAAAAAAAAAATAGACTTACAAGTGAAGAGACTGAAAAAAAATGGGGGATATGGTGAAACTTCGCAGATAAAATGTACAACGCTCATTTATTTCTGCTGCTTGCCCAAACCTCACTAAAATGATGGTAAAGAAATAAAAAAAAATCAATAAATCTCACAAGGCAAAGAGTTCAGATGTCAGCCAAGTCTTGGAATATGGAAAATGGACGGATGCTTGGTAATGGACCTAACAGAGCTGAGAAACTGAACTCTGCCCCTGCAGAGTACAAGGCCAGGGACAAGAAAAAAGCTGAACTAAGACTCAGAACCAGGAAAAACTCAAGGTTTGGAAGCCCTGCGAACCCCTGAAGGTGAGAGATGGAGCAGAAAACACATCTGATTGAAAATATGAGTAAGAAACAGTGAAAAGCCCAGATATCTTTCCCATTCCCACACACACAAACAAACTAAAAAACCTACACACACACATAGCCGGTGAACATCCCTCTCCCAACCAGATGGAATAGACAGAAACTGGAAGTATATTCCGAAGAAAAGTGCTGGCTTCGGAATGTCAGGCAAAGCAGTGGCCAGGTAAGAGGCTGTGTACTGAAAACAAACTTTTAAATGAAAGTGTAACACTAAAGCACCCCAGTCTGTTCATTCAGTGGGGCTCCCAGGACACTAACAGATCGGCTTGTCCGCCACAGAAAGGAAGTGGGAAGATTTCATTCCAGGGAAACTGGCATACCCATGGAAAAAAATCTAAAGGCACATTTGAGGGACCCCTGAAACGTCTGGCCCATTTCCCAAGGCCCTTTAGTGAACTCGTGTTTTTTTAAAATCTTTACCCGAGGATATTTTTCTGTTTATCTTCAGATAGAGTGGGAGGGAGGGAGAGAGACAGAGAGAAAAAATTGATGTGAGAGGGACAAATCGACTGGTTGCCTCCCACACGACCCCAAACCGCAACCGAGGTATGTGCCCTTGACCGGAATCGAACCCATTACTCTTTGGTCCGTGGGCCAACACTCTAACCGCTGAGCCAAACCAGCTAGGGCTCAGCATCTCACTCTTAAATATGAACATCAAGTTAAGAGAGGACTCTCAGATCCATCAGAACTATGGACAAAGGAAACTCAGAGGAAAGAGAGGCAGGGTGAGAAACAAAACCATTTTAAAAAACTATAATTACCATATAATTTCAAGCAAACTATAATTACTATTCTCAGAGAGAGAGGAAAAACATTGCAGCCAC